AAACGTTTGAATTTCTCAGGTGCAATACAATTACAAATGATACAATCCATTCACTATTGCAAGTCAGGCTTTATAGCCACCCCCATCATCCTCATTTATAATCAATCTTATAAACCAGGAGGCAAGACTAGTTCCATTTTTATAGATGTGGAACCTGAGCTCTGGGGAATGAAGGCACTATCCAAGGTCTCACATGCTAGTGAGTATAGACGTTTCTGTGTGAACTAAAGGTTTTGTGAACCATTAAGAGCTTAATCTATATGTTGGGTCCAAAAAGAACATGTTTTCCTCCTGCAACCCCCCAAATTATACAGTTGTAAGGCCTGAGAATGAGGCTCAGCACTTGATTGCCTGCCTTGCAGGTGTGAGGCCTTGCATTGTATCTCTGACACCAACCACACCACACAGCGTGATCCCCAAAACTACTGCTATGATCCCCACCAGTGTCACTTATGGTGCCAAGTGCGTAACCCGTGACAACACAAGAACTGAAGACAGGAAACGGGGGAACACATTTATAGGAGGAAAGTGAACTTTCTTTCAGAAGAACAAAAAAAAAGCATTGTCACTTAGCAGTCACTGTGACTGGCCAAGAGGGTCTTGAGGACCAGAGCATCCGAATCCCCACTGGAGACAGGGTGAGAGGTAACCCGAGGTCAAACTTGTGCCCTTGAAAGTGGGAGGTCATCTACATCTCAAGAAGCCACCAGGCCTTCCACAGGCAGCACCCTCAGTTCTTTCCCCACTTTTTTTTTTTTTGGTGGGTGGAACCCAGCAGTGCTCAGGGTGTTCTTCCTGGTGATGCACAGGGGATCATGTGGTGGTAGGAGTCAAACTTAGGATGCATACAAGTTCAAAGCATGTGCACTAATCCTTTAAGCCATCTCCCTGGCCTCAGCACCCCAAACTTCCTTAGGTGACGGTATCCTCTGGCATTCTGCGCCCTGCCCAGGCCCTATCCAAATTCTCCAGTTGGGCAATTGCCTTGCACATCTTTAGAAGCGAGGTCAGGTGCTACAGGTCCTTCTGAAAGTCGATTCCAAATGGAGGGGTGTTTGGCTGGTTTTTGTTTGGGGGACACGCTTGGCAGTGCTCCTGGCTTCCACCAGACTCTGTGTTCAGGGATCACTCCTGGCAGTGCTCTGAGGACCACGTGGTACCAGAGATAGACACACCTTCTGCCGCATGCAAGACAAGTACCTTCTCCCTTGTACTATCTCTCCAACCCTTCAGAGACATGTTCCAAACAGCTCCCAGCACCTGCCTTGTTCGGAGCCACTCAGTCATAAATGAAAACCCACAGGACGTGTCTGAGCTGCTTCAAGGCCAAGTGCTGGGAAGGTGCTGCCCCTCCTGCAAACAGACTTCCCCAGTGAAGCTGCCAGCTGCAGCCGGAAGAGTAGAGTGACGGTGGCTGAAAGTCAACACCCAGGTGAGGCCAAAGCTGCCAAAGCGAAGTGACTAGTGAAATTCAGGGGTCTGTGGGTGCCGTGAGTGCTTGGAAAGCAATAGAAACCAGATAGAAACCAGGAGAACAGACCGTTTGAACCGTTTCAAAGTAACCCACGGAGCAAGAAGCACAAAGCAGATCTGCTAAGTGCCAGCTAAAGGGGACAGGCTTTGGGGGAGGGAGGGAAACTGGGGAGACGGGAGTGGAAGGAAGGTCCCACTGGGGGTGGGATTGATGTTGGAATACTAGATGCCTGAAAGAACTGTATTGTGAACAGCTTTGTGAATCAAGGTGCTTTAATAAAAATGAAAGGCGAAGAAAATCACACACAGCTAGAGATATGCTGGCCACAGAGATTACCTACCCCACTCCTCACTCACAGCCCCTCAGGCCAGGAGCAGCCCCTCCAGTCAATCCCCACCACCGCAGGGTGGGGGCTCCTGGGTCAAGAGGGACCAAGGTGAGCACCAGTAGACGCCACATAGATAGTGCCCTGCTTCCTGCTCTAAGTGGCTTGCTTAGAGCTGACAACTGTCTGTTTGCACACAATCGGTGGCAAGTTATGCCTTGGGGCTCCCCAGCTCCCCACCTACTTCTCCATCAGAGCCTACTCTAAAGGTTGAGGCTATAGGGGCTGGAGCAATAGCACAGCGGGTAGGGCATTTGCTTTGCACGCGGCCGACCTGAGTTCGATTCCCAGCATCCCATATGGTTCCCCGAGCACCGCCAGGAGTGCAGAGCCAGGAATAACCCCTGTGCATTGCCAGGTGTGACCCAAAAAGAAAAAAAAAACAGGTTGAGGCTATAGACTTAATAATTCAGAATATGGGAGATCCTAAATGCCATTCCTTTCCCCAAAGGGGCAAAAGCAACTTGCTGACTAACACTCAAGGTGGTTTCACCCGGGATGAGTACTGGACAGGTTTTTCTGCTTGAGAAGCCTTCACAGTGGCCTCCGTTGGGAGTTTGGCAAGGCCAGTGGCCAGTGGGGAGCCATGAGTGCGTGGCCCCGGGCAGCCCGGGGAGGAGCCACTGTGCATTGGGTACTGGTGACAGCAGTGCCCTGGGAGCTTCGGGGTGGAGGTGGGGGTTTCCCATTCCAGCAGGCTCCCTATGCATGTGGCCCTCCCACATTCCCAGGAGATGTGTGTGCATCTGCAAACACTCGCTCTAGGCATACTGTTTAGAGCAGGAAGTAAGTCCCTGTGTCCCTGTCTCCCACCAATAGCATCTGACGAGCTCCTGCTTTCCAGGAGTGCCGGGGACAAAGAGGACAAGACTCTTCCTGAAGAGGGAAGGATGAGAGGGTGGCGTGGCAAAGCCTCTCTGTTTCATCAGCCTCCCCACCCCCCCGGTGAGAACAGAGACAAAACCGAAATGCAGTCAAACAAGTCCATGACCCTTCTATTTGGCCCAGGGATGTACATAGTGGTAAGTCCATGCACATGGCGAGGTGGGGGGTGGGTGGGTCAAAGGCCCAAGTGACCTTCTATTCTTTTTTTTTTTTTTTGGAGGTGGGGTTGCTGAGTAGGTACTGTAGCTTAGAGCTTGGACCACACCCAGCAGAGCGTAACAGTGCCTTCACTCTGCTGCTACTCTCTCTCTCTCTCATTCTCTCTCTCTCTCTCTCGCTTGCTCGCTCGCTCTCTCTCGCTCTCTCTCGCTCTTAAAACACAGATAATCTAAATATCTGGCCGCCATTCCCTAGGGAGAGTAGTTTCAAAACAATGCGAAGCCGTGAAAGCCCCTACGTTCCAAACATAAGGTGAGCTTGTTTTTGAGTCTCAGAATCATTTGCCAACTTCCAATTTCAGCACGGCTGATTTAATTTAGTTCACTGTTCAACTGTTCTAAGGACATGAGTTCTGCGGAATCCAGCTGGCAGCGAGCGGAAAGACTCCAAAATACCTAAAAAAGTACATATGGAATGGAACAGAGGCTAGCTGAACAGCAGAGAGAAAAGGCACGAGACATTGTCCTCCCCGGGCTGGCCTAGAAAACTGGTTGCAAGACCATGATTTACTCTGTGCAAGAGTCTCTCTGTCAATGTGAGATTTTCCCAGACGTGCCCTCACTTTCCTGTGAATCAAAACTAAAGCCCACTCTTTTCACAGTGCAAGGATACCAGAGGACTTCCACCGTTTCTAAACAGAACCACCAAACCAGAGGGGACATTCTAATTTTATCACCAAGACAACCCCTTTCAACCGGGACGAGCCACAGAATCAGTTTCCAACACTAAAGATCAGAAATAGTATATCCACAGATACAATAAGTGTGATGTCATTCAGATTCAGGTTCTATCTTGGAGCGTTGAATCCCACAGCGTAGCAGAGAAACTAGAGCCCTTCTTGGTCATTGGGTGATGCTAGACTAAAAAAAAAAAAAAAAAAAAGGTGTGGGAGGAAGAAAGGTTGGATCAGATTCTTGGCTTCTGGCATCCCTGGGGTCGCTGTCGGCATTAAACGGATTATGCTGCTGTTTCTCAACTTTTGTCTTCCCACTAGATATCTTGGGCTGATCGATCAAGAATACTAAATCACATTTCCAGATATTTTCCATCGACAACTCTCTTTCCAAAGAGCGTTCGCTTTCAGGAGGCGACTTCAAGGCCCCAGGAGCCGCCGTGAATCATGCGCCCGTGACATGGGTGCCAAGAGACCGTGCGAGCCTCGGCCCTCCCGGCAGGTGCAAACACGCGTAGCCGCGTCCCCGGGGAGCCTCCCCACCAGCCCCGGCCAAAGGCAAACGGGAGATCGCGGAGGTCCTGCGTGCCCGGGAAGGGTGACTGCCCATCTGGAACGGAATTTCCGTGAACCCCTGCACTTTCTCCGGGCCCTGGTTACACTGTTATCCAAAGAGGTCAACGATCGGGAGATCAGAAGGACCAACGCACAGAGTGACACGGGCCGCGGGTGCTGAGGTGCCTCTGAGGTCATCGTGCCAGCTGTCAGTCCCGGGGGGGGGGGGGGGGAAGCGGAGTTGATGGGCTGCTCCCTCCAGAACTGCTGTCCCCCGAGGAACCAACTGCCCCATGAACCCCAACCAGAAGGGCAGGGAGAGCAGTCACACTCTGCACCCCCTTTCAGCCCCCCCCCTCCCCCAGAGTTCAAAGACGTGAGAGGGACGAAAGGACGTATGTCAAAGTCACGCTATCCTAGAGGTGCTGTCGTGGGAGGGGGCCATGGAAGAGGATGAGCACTCCTGAGATTTGACATCATCGCCAAGGACTCCTTTTAAAGTGCTCCCGCACGCCAATCTGGCTCCATCTCATTGCACTCAGCTGCTACTTCTGCTACAAAGCAGTTGTCTTTTTTTTTTTTTTAAATCCTCCCCACATGCACATCGGCTGTGCTATCCTAGAGAAACTCCACATCCCAAATACCAGCGTGGTCACCCATCAGCAAATCAGCAAGCGAACAGAGTGGCAGAAGCACAGAGACTTGTTTTACCCCTAAGGAAAGCCTGTGGTGTCTCTCCCCATCCCTGAAAACCCCGGGTACCCAGACAGCCCCGCAGGGGGACGAGGGGTCTTAGGACAGAGCCAAACCTTGGTGGTCTTCCTCAGCCTGAAGAGGGTCCATGGGCTCCGGGGCTCCCAGGCCAGTGACGACAGGGACAGATCACGGGACCTAGGCTTCTCTTCGCCAGGACCGACCGTGCGCGCTCGTCGGGGGACAGGCTCGGGCGCTGGCCGCCTGCCCAGAAGTCTGTGGGCTGAGTCGGACTCCAGGAGGGGAGTGCCACGCAGAGGGTGTGCCCCAGCCAGCGCAGGAAGAATGAGGCACTTCCTGCACCCGCGGAGCACCTTCCCTGGGGACTCCTCATCCCCCGGTGCTCCCTCCGCCTCCTACTGGTCCCCAGGCCCGGCCCTCCTCGGACACCAGCGGCCGCCACCAGCACCCCCCTTCCCTCACCCCACGCCACACCTGCAGAAAAGCGTCCTCAGTGCCAAGGCAAGACACGCCCAGAGAGTTCCTCAGCTGTGCCTCCCCGCGGCAGGATCCAGAATCCAGAGTTGGGTCACTGCTGTTTCCCGGTAACTCAAATCCACGAGACAAAAGACAGCAAAGGGTTGATTCATTCCCCCCTCCATTCCGCAGCCTTCTGCCTCCTCTTTTCACTTAATGAATTATATCGTCTCAGCAGATGGGCTTTTTTGGTACTTTTTTTTTTTTTTTAAATACTAGGCTTTAATAGAATTACTCTAATTCGGGGAGGCTTCCTTTACTCTCCGCCTGGCTGCTCATCAGGATTTTAGTCGCTGGCTGGCCAGAGGCACACACAGACTTTGAGCCTTTGCATGCTAGGGTCAGGGCAGCTGAGAACAATGACCTCATCCTGCAAGGCTCAGGAAAGAGGCTTCCTCCCACCCCCTTTCCCTCTTTCGTCAGTCATGCCCCGATGCTGGGCAAACCTGCCACGGTCCAAGTTTACTCCCGGTTATTTAATTAATTAATTATTTATTTATTTGCTTTTTTGGGTCACACCCAGCGATGCACAGGGGTTACTCCTGATTCTGACCCAGGAATCACCCCTGGCAGTGCTCAGGGGACCATATGGGATGCTGGGAATCGAACCCGGGTTGGCTGCATGCAAGGCAAACGCCCAACCCGCTGTGCTGTTGCTCCAGCCCCGACTCCCGGTTATTTTTGAACCCTAGGGCTGTTCTCAACGGGAACGGAAAAGTGAAGAAGACACAGTTTCCCTGCGGGAGAGACACTGAGGCCCCACGTGCCCACCTGGGAGATGCCACGGCTGAGAGGGGGCGGCAGGAAACGGGCGGAACTGAAGCGTGAGAGTTGAGTGCTGAGAGATCCACGGTGGTACCAGCAACGGGTGCAGTGCACCGTTTTAATACAGAGTTTGCTGAAGGGAACTTTCCCGGCCTCCTCTCTTCCCTGCCTCCCTGCTGCGTTTGTCTTTGTGACGGCTCTGCCCCATCCCCATTCACACAGCAGCCCCACCTCCTTGTCCCAGCACAGGCCCCCGGCCTGGAACTTTCTGCCTGATAACAGTCCTCCTGACTTGGCTCAAGTACCCGGCGCCAGACAAAGGCTCCCCACTGGCCCGCTGGTTGATAAAATGCCTGGCATGCGCAGGGCTGTCATATGCTTACAGCAGCGTTTCTCGCAAGCTCCTGATCATGCCCAATGCCTCACCACACATTCTCTGGACCATGAGTTCTCTGTGTTTGCCCTCACGGTCGTGGTGGTCTCAGGCTCCTGATGATCGGGACCGACGTCTTCCCGAGCGGTCACTTCTCATCCATGTTAGCTTTTCTTTCTGATGTGATAGGCACTCGGCAGCTCAGAGGAGGACCTATCTGGGCTTGGGGGAAGGGGTGAAGGGGCTCCCCCATAGCCTGCGTTGCCTTCTCTTCCAGAGGCCCTGGCCAGATTCTGCTTTAAAAGCAACTTCAGTCCATACCTTGCCTTTCTCAAGGCAGGACAAGGGAGGCTGGAGTGGGGGAGCCAATATGGAAACGTGGACTTTTTTTTTTTTTTTGCATAACTTAACCAATAAGATGGCCCCTTCTTAGTCAGGGTCCTCTGAACTTGACCTGTTACTTGAACCAGAGACGATCAGATTGGCAGTTCTTTTAGGATCCAGAAACAAACTGCTCAGAACACAAGACTGCCTTCTAAATGAAATGGCAATGAGGCTTTGGAAACTCTGAGCTGAATGCTGGCTGAACTTCCCTTGACATCACCCAGGCCCCGAAGGAGCAGGACCATTTGCCCCAAACATGCTCCTCAGAGAAGCGAGGGCTACTTGGACACAAAAGGCACATGGACCTAGTTGGATCTGCCTGGCTGCTGAAGCTACTCTCAACAGAGACTTCACAGTTCAACAAGCTTCTCAGAGACTTCCCTGAGTTCCTATAACTCTTTAAGAATGAGGCAAGAGCACTGGCTGGGAATGCCACTCCAAGAGCAGAGCTTTTAGAGATCAAGCACTTCACAGTGTCAATGAAAAAATACATCAGCGACCTGCCCGAGTTCCCCACAGAACAGAGCTGGGTAACATGTATACACTGAACCCTTCTACCTCACTGTGACCCAGCCAGGCCACCAGGCCACTGTGCCACATAACAGACACGATGCATCATCTCAGGCACATGGTGGCTCTCACAGCAGACTGTCAAACACCTGACCCAGGCCTGCCTGGCAGTGGCGGGAGAGAAAGCCTCTCCTGATAAATTTATGATGGGCTGGGAGGGAGAAATGACCAGAGAGGCATGGGTGCTGACCTCCTCTTTGAAACTAAGCAGTAGAGACACAAAGCAAGCAAATTGAATTCCATAAGAAAAACGATTCCACTGGGAAAGATGAAAAGCAAATTTCTGAAAAGGTCAGACTCAATTTAGGAAGAAAAATCTTCTAGGGCCTCACTAGAAAGGCATCGGGGAAAAGTTAAGTATGGGTTTGTCATTTCCCTTGAGCCTGCATTTCGATATTACTCAGTTATTAGCCCCCCAAACTGGACCAGCAGTGTGACTCCAAGGGAAAGATAAATTTCTAGAACTTTCATTCACTTTTACACAGGAGAAAAATCTTGATGGAGGCTGAACCAGAAATGGTCTTCAGAGTACCCAACCATTCCTGGGCTGGTAGGTACAGAAACGGTCTATGGAGTACACAGCCACTTCTGGGCTGATGGGTCCAATTTCTACTTAAGGTGCCCAAGCACATCCCATATCCTTGGTTCTGTGACTCTGAGAACACAATTTTGAGGACCTTATTAGGTAATGTGTATATATATGTACACATGCATATGAATCTCATAAACTGCAAGGGGAAGGCTGGCCTCTGCGAGGGTTCATCCAGCGGGCAGGGAACAGAGACCCCCTTACTCGTTACTTGCAGTCCTCTGAGCTGGGTACCACAACCATCATCATCTAGTTTTCAAGAAGAGACAAATGAAAGTGAAGTTCAAGAGACTTCCTAGGTCACCCAACTGAGAGATACAGCTGGGCTTTAGACACAAACAAGGGGAATCAGAGATCATCCTCGTCAGGCTGGAAGTCCTTCAAGTCCAAGGAGATCATTAAAGCAGAGAAGATGCCCACGCTGACTGTAGGCTTGAACTTACTTCAGGGGGATCCAAAACACACACTTTAGAGTATAGGAAAATCAGTGGTGCCCCATACACAGCTGGAGGCTCAAGCCTCTTTATAAGAGAAGAAAACCAAGCTGAAGAGAGAGAGAGAGAGAGAGAGAGAGAGAGAGAGAGAGAGAGAGAGAGAGAGAGTGTCATTTTCCCTCAAAACCAGAACCACAGTTCACAGTAGGGGGCAGGGTTTGACTTCAGCTCTGCCCTGTCTGAATTCCAAGCATCCTGAGCTGTGGCCAAAAGGCCCTACCATGCTTAAGTCTCTTCTGTGTCCTTCTGTTGAATGAATGCAATGACCAAGTGACCGGTGTCAAGACTGGCATCTGTGTGAACCTTCTCAAAGGAAGAGGGGATGATTCGAGCAGAATCCACTTGGGGGTTTCCAGGAGGCACTTTCCCTCTCACCACTGCTGCTGGGAGGTGGGCACTGACGGCTTCTGTTTTGCTCCTCCCGGTCTCTCCCCGTCTGCCCTGACTCTCTTGCCAAGTCAGTTCGGCTCCACTGGAGGGGATCAAAAGGTATTCTGTATTCCCCACGAGGGGACAGGCATGGCTTGGGAGAGACTCATTCGATACAAGCCAACTGTACAAATGAGAAATGGGATGATTCCAATCTCTGTGCCTTTATTTTTATTTAGTTATAAGGTAAAGGTAAAGGTAAAGGCCCTCCCGTTGATCGTCGATTTGCTCGAGCGGGCCCAGTAACGTCTCCATTGGAGACTTTGTTGTTACTGTGTCTGGCATAGCGAATACTCTCGGTAGCTTGCCGGGCTCTCCGAGAGGGGCGGAGGAATCGAACTCGGGTCGGCCATGTTGGCCGCTTGTAAGGCGAACGCCCTACCCGCTGTGCTATCGCTCCAGCCACCCATTTAGTTATATTTTTATTAAAGAATGCACGGCAGAGCCTGGCAAGCTACCTGTGACGTACTCGATATGTCAAACACAGTAACAACAAGTCTCATGATGGAGATGTTACTGGGCCCGCTCGAGCAAATCGATGAACAACGGGAGGACCGTTTTATTAAAGAACTGTCACAGTTTATTGAGTTATTGATAGTTGAGTTTTAGGTATATATGTATATATACAAACATATAGAGAAAGAGAGAGAGAGAGACTCACTGTGAGATAGACCATTACAAAGCTATTCATGATTGGGTTTCAGTCATACAATGCTCCAACACCCATTCCCCCACCAATGTACATTTCCCAGCACCAACGTCCCCCGTTTCTCTCCCACCAACCTCTACCACAACCCCTACCTGCCTCTATGGCAAACTCCTTTCTTATTTCTCTGTCTCTGTTTCTGTTTCTGTCTCCGTCTCTCTTCTCTGTCTCTGTCTCTTTCTGTCTGTCTATCCGTCTGTCTGTCTATCCCTCTGTCTCTTTTAGAATCTGCAATATAGGTACTAAGAGATCATCATCATGTTTGTCTGTCCTGAGATGGTGGAATCCAGC